TGGACTGGCATATTTTACTTTATTTTTCATGATATAGCAAAATATATACGACGCAATTTAAAAAGTATATTATATTTGCAGTGTACTAAATTAAGCTTCCCTCTTCAAGCTAAAAATATTTGCGTTTACAGAATTTCAATATCGCTGTCTGCTCTCAAGCTATTCTAGAGAATTCAAAATTTGGGAAAAAAGTGTGCGTATAATAAATTTAGTAAATAATGGTAAATATTTTTTTGGTAAAAATAGCTTGAACTTGCTGTGGCAAGAAAAAATTGTAGGAGAATTACAAGAAGCAGTTTCCCTAGAGCAGCCTCCAAAGCTGGAAGCAATTATATAAATATCCATTTGATGCAGGTGCTTTCCAGAAGTAGAATTTTCAGTGGAAGCACTGTACTCTCTGAAATAAGAATTTTTTTCTGGCACAATTTTACTCCTTTTTTTACGTCGTCTGTCGTTTATTTTGATATAAAAAATGCGTCAATTTTGCTGATACAACGTGTCAACAAAAACAAAAACATGCATGGGTTATAAAAAATAAATTGAGATGTGACGCCAGTACAAAATAATAAAAACCTGTACATTTATTTGCGAAAAAACTAATTACTCCAAAGCGAGTGTGGAGATCCTCCAGTTACACGGAGCGTTTGAGCAAATCTGCTGAATCTAGATCGTATTTCTTGAGAACATTAAACGTAAATAATTTAGATTATCTCATAAATGTTTTAATCTCACTTGATGAATTTGTGTTCGGATTCTCTTTGCAACGTGCAACGAAGTTATCTTGTAGGAAAGCTTACTCCAAGGAGCCATTAGAAAATTAAATCGCAAATACAGAGGGGGCCAAATTCTTATCTCCTCACATTTAAAGCTTCAAAATAAAATTCCTTGATCCTCCAACAGCGATCTCGATACTGCAACGCCTTGACATCCCATAAACCCGAAAAGTGTTTATGAGATTCTGCTCGAGTAAAATGAAAGATTTTTCTACTCCCTCCAGCTGAAGGTTAATTAAACATTGTTCGAGGGTACGAATTTCAGCAGACCTTGTATTCACCCGACTTATTTAATTTAGTAATCGACTTTCTAAGGGTCGCTTTCATGATGAATCATATAATTGAAATGCCTGCCGTAAATCCTCCCACTGAAAAACGTCCACAAAAATATGAAACTGAAAATTTAATTTTTCTTTAAAAACCCAAAAATTCCGCGTTAATTCCGCTTTATTTCGCTGCGACAACAAAATGAAATCCCGCGTGGGATAGCATTTTTGCAATAATCCACCTAATCCATCCGTAAATAGTCCGAAGTTATTGAGTGCGCACCTGCGTGCTTGAATCTTTTGATCCTCTAATTTGGCCGCAGTTGTACTGATTTATTTCGTGACTTCTATCGGAACGGATTAAATGGCGGTTTTATGAAACACGGAGGGAGTTTTCAGCGGCGTATTAAAAGAGAGAAAGGAAGAAGTTTTAAGCGAAATTTATGCGATAACAAAATACAGTGCGTTTGCGGTTATTGTCTCTAGGAATATGTTTTTAGAGGAATATGTGACTACTAAAGGTAAACAAAAGCGATTAATAGTATTAATAGTTCAAAGGCATTTATAATTGTGGGAAATATTGTATCACAGTTTGTGAAAATACGTTGCTTGGTAACACCCTAACGAGCAGAGTATAAACCGTTCAGGCTGTTTTTAGACAAAACTGAGATATTAATTTTTTTTTTACATTGGATTCATTGATAACACGGTTTTTCTGTCAGCACCTGAAACTTGTAGTGCATCGTATATTACAAGAACAAGACTCATATCCATACCACGCTCAAAAAGTGCAAGCTTTTCTCACATTTATTTTAAAGATTCATCCTTGTTTTGAAACACAAGGATATAATTGTGGTGGAACGTGCTCTCATCGTCCGCCAATTTCTTAAATCTCAGATAAACGGAAGTTCTAATACCGTGCGTGACCACCGCAAAGCCCGAAATCAACAGTACAACAACGACTAGCACTTTCGCTTTCATTTCCAATGCGAATTCCCAAAATAAAATCCATTTGATTTAGTTCGTAAGCCCCTATTTCAGTTGGAATCGATTTTCTGGCTTTGGCTGTAAAAGATTAAAGCTCGTTTTTTAAAACACCGAGGAGCGTCTCCAAACATGAGAATCTAATTCTCATGGAACGAGCTCTCATCGTATCGTCAATTTCGCAAATCTCAAATAAATGGAAGTTCTAATACCCTGCGTGACCGGAGGTTCGTGCCATAATGGCAGACCGAAACCTGAAAAATTGTCGTGACTCAAGCGACTGAATGTAAATAGTCGACGACAACTACTGGCCGAGAATACGGACATCAACTTGTTGAATTGGGATACGCAGTATTGACCGTCTGTCCGTAAAATATATTTTTTTTATAAAATCTCCCGTCGTTCCGGACCCTCCTGACCGTATCATATCAAAGCAGATCAAGGAAACGTCTTTCTGAAATGTAGCGGCCCAAAATATCGAGATGGAATCTGCCTTAATATCGCTTATCAGAGGAATGTAGCGAGGTAAAATTGGACGAATTTATCAAATAAAGCTCCAATTTCATCCACATAAAGTTCCGGAATGTAGTGCCATTTAGTACTCATGCTTTAATTAAATCGACTCGGGGAACACAATAGTTATTTATGCAACAAGTGCAAAAAGTGACTGATTATTGCATGCGACGTAACAATTGTCCGACGAGACCAAAGGTCGAGTCGGACAATACGTCAAGTGCAAGAACACTTTTGCACGTGTTCCATACAACATTTTTTCTACAATCGTGGGTATAATGCATCAGTTTTATTGGAGACTTAAATAAAATTTTACAACAACTAAAAGGTATCATCATGCCGTCTTATGTAGCCGTGATTACCATGACAACCAAACAATGTTTCCAAAAAAAACAAATTGCAAAATAAAACGCCATAAATAAGTAGTGACTGAGTGTTTTGAACCGTGCTGACCCCAAAATGAGCGATTCGAGCGAAAATGAAACAAACCCTGAAATTACCGAGATGGCCAATGTGGCAATATTTAATTTATTGCCCGAGAAATCTCACAAAACAATATGATCTGATCTATCTGACATACAACCGGTTCAAAGAATTGTATGCGGACAAAAATGTTGTGCAGTTAACATAAACCGTGGTTCTGGCTTATTTTTCCGATCGGTCAACGAAGGTAAAGTCTTCTACCCTCTGGTCCGAATATTCCATGATACGTGCTTCCCTTTCGGTGAAAGAAATTATGGATATAAATAAAATTTGACGTTATTTAGACTGACATTAGAGTGCAATAAAATTTTTCTTGCACTAGTGCAAGAAAGTGCCACTTTTTGCATTCTAAACCATTGACATATGAGTCATTTTTTACACGATTGTAGAAAAAGGAAATTTGTCGTGTTTGCCGTAAAACCTACATGATAATTATGTATTCAGGTGAGGTTCAGGTCAAAGGATACACATTTCTGTGCCTCAAGATGTTTACTTTAAGGAAGTCCTCGTATTTATATAGCAAGCACACGGATTACGGGCTTGCCAGATTTGTGAGCTTTTTGAATGGCACAAAGTTACACAAATCTTTGATTAAGAAAATTGTATCGCTAGCTTTCTGCTGAAGGGACAAGAAAAAATTTTATTACGTGATGCAAGCTTTTTTATGAATGATGAAATGTGTTCGTTAAATTGAGAATAATTTATTAGCACTTGCAAAGATGCTGCATAGCGACATTTTGATAATTTAGTTATATGGCGACATTTTATTCTGGAAACTGCGGAAAAATGTAAATATACAATCTAACCGCATCTGTGCTTTCTCCTATAAAATTCTTTTATATGTCTCTTTTTATTTTCGTGCTGCCCGGAATCACTCCGGACTCGGCATTTTTTAATTGGCCCGTGGATTTTAATTATATCACCTTTCTGTCTACGACTGGTTACTTCGAAATATTTAACCCAACCCGATTGCTGCTCAGTTTTAGTTTCACCGACGAAAAGCAAATGTAAATTTTTGGTTTTTAGGTAAATTATTTAAATAACTGAATTATGCTTGTATTAATTTGGCAACGAATGCACCCAGTTAAGTTGGTTATTCACTGCTGCTACATTTTGTGTACGGTATTCGCGTAATATAATTAGTTACGGTTATTTAATTATGTGCATTACACCAATGCAGTCCTGATTTAGCATTTCCCATTATCCTTAGACGCTGATAATATATTGTAATGAATACGTAGCTGTTTACGAAATTAGCATACAAATAGTATCGGCAAATTTGCATCCGAAATAGTAAAACAGGGCCAAGCTGCACGTCCTAGTTAAGCCATTCAGGCAACAGAGGAACGTAGGAATAATATAAAATAGGATAATCTTTGATGAAGCAGATGAAAGAAGGATGTACCCTTTTTATATTCAAGTCGTGACATTTTTCATCCATAAAACGTAAAGAAAAGCAGATTCGTTGCATGAGTTGGCGGCGCTGTCGTGGTTGCATTAAAAATGAACTGTTTCACTTACAACAACCCGATTCATTCTTACATAGACAAAAGCGGTCGGTCTTTGTGTTTAGATTAATGACTTCAGTTTTAATGAAGAAGTCAAACCGCTGCAATAATGTCGCTGCACCGAAAAACCGCCGCAAATTGACAAAACCCGACGTTTCACGCAGGAAGACAAAGCGCTTCCGTCGCAATAATTTTTTATCCGCAACCAAAACAAGATTTTCGGGACCGACGTACAGCTTCTCGGTCTCGTAAGTGATTATTTTCGTTCCCGCGTCACTTACGGCGCGTACAAGAAACCGGTGGTCGTTTAGCGCTTATACTTTTTTATCAGAACAACTAAGAAACGTCAAAAGCTTATGGGGGGAGCTTAAATTTAACGACATAGCAAATTGTCCTCCCAGTGTAACCACTTCGGCCTTGTTAGGGCTTTTTTGTCCTTTTCTTGTCGGCTTATTCTTTGGTTTTTGTTGCAGCCACTGGCGAAGAGGAAACCAATCCGTTGCCTTGTGTAGTTTACGTGCATGGTGAGAGCTACGAGTGGAACTCGGGCAATCCCTACGATGGGACCGTGCTTGCCTCCGCCGGCAAGGTCATCGTAGTCACCATCAATTTCAGATTAGGAGTGTTAGGTGAGAACGAAAATCTGTGTTTATAATATAATAGGTTTGTTTTGATGTCTACTTATCTCAAGTAACTTAAGATACAGTTTGAAAGATATGATAAAGACATCGCCCTTACGAAATTTGCCAGCTCTATAGAAAGTCCTCAAAGACTAAAATCTCTTTTCTGCAGACGATATCTTGGGCTTCGAAAATTATTTTCTTTTTTATTAAATTTCTTTTGACAGGTTTAATATACCACACGTAACATTTTTTTTTATTGTAAAACAAACGTCTTTTTTTCTACTCAATGCATCACTGTTTGATCTTGGTACCTTCATTTTGTTTTCAGAAGACTAAATTGTGAATCTCCATTGCACTAGGATCATTATCCTCTCATAAATTTAAATACTTTTACCTTAACTTGAATCGTCTTATTGGTCAAAATGTAATCATGCGAAAGCATTTTTCTGTTCTCATCATAATACTGTGTCAGATTGAAATCACTTCTTCTACAAGGGTTCTTATTCCTCCTTTTTTCCAATTTTCACGTGTTTTTTCTACTTCTTGTACTTCATTTTCTTCTCCATTTATTGTAATTTGCAAATATTATCCAAAGATTTTTACCGTCTTCTCTCTTTGTCGTCTCGTACTAAATTTGTTTCTTTTTTTTTAATATATTAGGTGAAATTTAAAAAAAGTGTATCTGTTTCTTCTTCTTCTTCTTCTTTTCCTCCCTTTATCCTTTTACCCCAACGGATATCGGTTGAAATCCTGGAACATTCTGTTTGTCAATCCAATCTGTGCATGTCTTCCTGTCTCCTACCAATCTTCTCATTTCTACAGTCGTTTTTCATTTTCCTTTATCGAGTTTTGCTGCCTGTTCTATCCATCTCTTCTATAATCTATCATTTTTTCTTTAAGATTATTATTATGTCGTCATATCATTTCAGTTGTTTCCGCGCTTTGAAGCTGGTGATTTGTTCTTACTGGAGAGTGGACCAGTTATCTCGTATTTTCATGAGACTGTGATTCTCAGTTTTTGAGTTTTATTTATGATTTACGGTTTGCATTTAACCTTTCTCAGAAACAGCATCATTTTTTGTCGAGAGGTCATTGACCGTCATTATTTTCGGTCGACCATTTTGACCTGTCGTAGGACCTTTTCATTTTTTGTCCACCATTTTGACCTATAATTTTTTGTCGAGCAATTTGACCTGTCTTAGAACCGAAATTATTTTCTGTGGACCAATTTGGGTTGCCTTAGAAAGGTATCATTTTCTGTCGACAATCGCGTGGTCGTCAAGCCTTGGATTCGATCGTCACTTCGTAGCGGTCGGACACGGTTGGAATGGTTTGCTTAGTTCATGCAGTTGTTAGGAAACAACCGTGAATTGAATTGCTGTAAAATGGGGTCGTACTTTTGCGCAAGTAAAATCAAAACTATGAGGGTTCCAAGGCAGATCAAATTGGTCAACAAAAAATCATAGGGATCCTAAGATATGTCAAAACGGTCACCAAAAAATTATACCGGTTCTAAGAAACAAATCAATGACCTGTCGACAGAAAATAATGACGGTTCTAAGACAGATTAAAAATAATGTCAAACTGTCCTAGAACCGACATCACATGATCACTGTAAACATATTTTTCCCAATTTCTACTAATAAAATGCTCATTTTGTATGTTAAATTTCGCTATTAAAACAATAGTTTAATCGAAAGGATGAATAAAATGTTTATAGCAACACTTTATTCACACTGTCATTGACAACACGAATAAAGTAAAAAAAAAACTAAAAATTCGCACTACCACTGAAATTTTCGTTGCTATGGATGTGTGGATATTTAACTAAAATTTGCAACGCTTGATAGTCCACCTCCTGTAAAACAATCCTAATGAAAGTCCAGAAGCATGGTCTGAATTTGACCTTTGACGAAAGAACAGGCATCTTAGGCTATTTACCTTCTTCAAATGTTCATGATATTGGTAATAATACAATTAATATTTATGTATATGGATTACCTAAACAATACATTTTTTGAAAAATTTTGCGAAATTGGAAAAAATCTTGTATGATACACGTGAATAAACGAATTTTATCCACTCAAAAACATTATCACACTCAGCTTCGCCTCGTGTGCTAAACTGTTTTTTCGTTGGATAAAATTCACTTTTATTCACTTATATCATAAATAGCTATTATCTTTGAAATTCGTTTGCCACTTTGTCGAGTTCAAAATTCATTAGGATTATTTTTGAAATCTGTGTTGGAATATTGTGTCTTAGTATACAGAGTGTCTATATAGCACTTTTTATTATCAATACTTACACTTTCCCGCGTTCAATTTTTTGTTGTTGTAAACTTTTAGTGTGACTTTTTTGCCCATTTCGCTTCTTCCTAACAGAGGTTTGTTCACTTCATGGTAAATGTTTTTCGTTTTTCTCGTTCTGTTGGCTGTCACTGCCGATTTTTCTATTGTTAGATTATACTTCCTTTAATTCTTCTCCGTTTATTACTATTTCCTCATCAATACTGATGCTTCCCGCTTTAAATTTGTTTGTTATATTCTACTAGTATTAGTAGTTTGTTTTTGGTATTGTGGATTGATTTTTGTTTTCTTGAGGATAACGTCCACTACTATATGATAAAGAAAGGGCTCAAACTGTTTGCTTGTAAAATACCTCTTTTCTGCAACTATCCTAAATGTTTTAGATTTCGGTCCTGTACATTTGAACATTAATGTTGACAAATATGATGACGTTGTAGGTTTCCCCAATATCGTGTTGGGGATTATGGTGTAGGTCAGTTGAACGCATTAATGCTACTCTTGGCACACCTGACTGGCTTTGGCCAAGAAGCCACTTTCACGCTACGTGGATTGGCGCTTTCAACTGGGGCGGTTGCTCAGGCGCCACCTGAGGTAGTCTAGCCGGAGAAACCGATATCCAGCGCAATTTGGAAAAAAAATCCGATTACACTTAAAAGCTCTAAGTTTAAATAAAAACAAAACTAACCAACAGAAAATAGGAACTTTCGGCAAATAACAAGAAATGAGAACCAGGTCAAGCTCGTCCTGTGGCCTTCCTGGCGGCGGCTCCTCACTCCACGGGGCTGCTTTGGACTCTAGGGAGGCGGCGAACGGGACGCTTTCGGTTACCCTTTCTTCTCTCTTGTGCTTTCTATAAACTACTCCCACACACGTCCATACACTTAATGACTTCTTGCCGACGTCGGCGCGGCCCGGTGGTCGCGAAAAATCCTCCCTACACCCCGGTACCCACGACTTATCGCTCGCCGAAAATTTGCTTCATTTCATTGCACTATACCAAGTGTCTGGAAAATGCCGGATTAACTCTCCGCTACGCTCTTAACAATGAACTGGTGAGTCTGGGAGAAATAGTAAAAAAATTCCTTTTCTCATCTTAGGAGAAATATAATGTTCGGAGTAAATTTTAGGATTTTATTTTTGGATAAATTTAAAGGAATCTGGTGTTTTGTTGCTGGGTGAACTTGAAATAGTATTTAACATTATTAGCATGGTAAAAAGGTTTTTACTAGTGGACGGAAGGCTATGACTGGCTCACCTTCTGGAGCCAGTAAAAACTCGTTACCTTGAGTGTATTGTTCAATATTTTATGTGTTTCTCACTTATAAATAACTATTATAAACTATTAAAAACTCTAGAAGGTCCAATATTTGAAGAAACATCGTATGAGCTTTAGACGTATTGCCTTGGAAACGCACGTCAGCATGGTATTTATCATAGCACTTATTGTGTTGTCTAGTTCTGTCACTCGGATTTTTCGATTTATCGTTTTCGATGCATTCAAATGAGTGTGGCGCAAGCTATATTACTGAGGAAGCAGCAATTGTGAGTGAAAATTTGCCTGAATCAACTTTGGCTGTCATTTCAACTTATAATAGTTTAAATACATGGCTGTATGAGCACCAGCAACTATTGCCACTTTAGTGACACTTTCATGTTGAATACAGTGACTTGGTAAATTGATGTTTACAAGTGAGGAACAAATAAAATACTACAAAACCATTTTGGAGGACCTTGGTATTCTATTTCTGTAAAATTCTGACTTGACCTGTTCTTGAGTTAATTTCGGGATTTAGTTTTTATGTTTCAAAAATTAAAAACAATCTTGAGGTTCTACGTATTCCTGTTGGGAAAGAATTTGAAAATGCTTTGGAGCCTCTAGTGTACTTTCTTATAATACTTTAATTAAATTTCTTACAGGATACATCATTTGCTAAAATTAGTCTTATCTTACCAGGTACTAGCCCCACCGCCCACCCTCTAATTTGTTAGAGAATATGTCTTTTGCCAAAATCAGTCTTAACACGTTCTAGCCCGCCCAATCGCCCTCTCTTCCCTTAGGGTGTATCTCATTTGCAAAAATCAGTCTTATCTTAGCAGGTACTAACCCCGCCCACCCACCCTCTCTTTTCTTTGAGGGTATGTCATTTGCCAAAATTCGTCTTATTTTAGAAGGTACTAGTCCCGCCCACCCACCCTCTCTTTTCTTAGAAGTTATATAATTTGCAAAAATCAGTCTTATCCTAGCAGGTACTAGCCCCGCCCACCCGCCCTCTCTTTTCTTAGAGGTTATCCCATTAGCCAAAATCACTCTTATATCTCAACAGGTAGTAGCCCCACCTGCCCGTCCTGTGAATCAATTTTATCTTAGCAAGTACCTACTGATGACTAACTTTTACATAAAATGATCAAAATTTGGAAACATTAAGAGCTTACTTTTATCCACAAGAGAGAAATTTTGGACATCTCTAGTGTTTAGTTGGTTATGCTTTAATGGTTTTTTCTTTTGTTGTTTTTATTTTTGTTTATAATTTATAAATGTTATTGTCCTAACAAAAAATAAAAGGTCACCATCGTTACGAAGAAATCAGAAAGTATTCGCGCAATAGGTGCGTGCAGTGTTGCCAATTTTACTTATATAAAATTACTTTTTCGTAATCTACATCATCAAGAATTTTTGAATTTTTTTATTATTTGTTT